TAAGACGGGTGTTCATTATAAGTGAGTAAAGCTTCTGGACTTTAAAATAACAGTTCTTATTCAAATTGCATGTTTCTGATGCTTAGCAATTAAGAGCTACTAAAATACACATGAACGTTTGGACTCAGCAGTATGATTATAGAAGTTCCTGTTAGTTATGAGGAAATCATTGATTTTGCATTCATTCCTTTGAAGACCCCACCCTAGAAGAGATGTCGGCCCCAGCTAGCAGGGTCCTACAGCCTTACATATTCCCTGAATGCACCTGGCCCTCCAGGTGTGAACACAGATTGATTATTTTTCCTTAAAAAACCCACACATTCAATACTGTGGGCTGTTCTCAAGTACAGACATAATATTGAATGACTGTTCCTGCCAGTTAAATTCACTTCCTGTTCACATCGCCTCATCCCACCCATGCATTCTTGGCTGTTCTATGAGTCAGACTTGTGAATTTTTTAGTTCTCTTAAGATAACCAGAGATTGCAAATGAAGAAGGACTTCGTTCTCTCTCCCACCCCCCCGACACATGGGAAAAATGTATAATTTTAAAAAGTATTTAGATATCCATGTATGAATTTTAAAAAGTATTTAAATATCCAGCTCATCTAGATCACAGAGGGTCTTAATTTCCAGATCCAGAAGAGAGTAGCTCAGTTTGTGAATTCCACACTGGTTTTCCTTTATGTTTGTTGCTTTCCTATCCTTAAAGAATTCATTCTGCATGGAAGTGATATGAAACCTCTCACATCTTTGCACAAGGAACCCTGGGAAATGTAGTTCTGTGAAGTGGCTAAGTAGCAGAAGATTCTTAGACCAGGATTTCAGAACATGGATAATGCATGCAGAAGGTTCAGGCTCCATAACCATTTAAAGAAGAAGAGCTGGTTTATATACCTTGCTTTTCTCCACCCTGTGGAGTCTCAAAGAAGTGTATAATCACCTTCCCTTTCTCTCCGCACAACAGGCACCTTGGGAGGTAGGTGGGGCTGAGAGAATTCTGAGGGAACTGTGTCTGACCCAAGGTCACCCAGCAGGCTTTATATGGAGGAGGAGTGGGGAATTGAACCCGGCTCTCCAGATTAGAGGCCACTGCTCTTAACCACTACACCAAGCTGGCTTTTAAAAGGGTTTCTGGTCACCTTGGAGAGCTGCTTGGAGAGTAGAGAATGCCTTGGAATTAGGGGTGAGCAGATTTCCTGTTTTACATTCCTTGTTGTGCTGGAATTTCACTCAGTGCTGTGCCCCAGTCTTCTTTAGCATGGCTTTAATTAGAAGAATTTCTAAAATTACCCAGAGTTCGTGTGTATGTCTTACTCTTTATTTCTGCTATCACCCATTACCAAATGCTCACATGCACATCAATAAAATGCCCTGACCTGGATAGCCCAGGCAAGCATGATCTCGTCAGATCTTAGAAGCTAAGCAGGGTTGACCCTCACAAGTACTTGGATGGGAGACCTCCTTGAAATACCAGAGCCGGGAGGCAGGGGCAGGCTGAATATGCCTGTCTTTCATCCAGTACTTCAACCTTAATTGAGTTTCATTACTAACTGTCCTGTTCCTCATCTGAGGGATCCTTGGCAACTGTGTGCTCTGGGGATTTTTTCTAAAGAATTATCAGACAAAACTACAATTCCCTGGGAATTTTGCAGGAAGCTGGTTGACTCTGTCTGTAGACAGAATCATAGAACCCTTGGTCTGAACCAGTAAGACAGAGTGCTTACATTCAAGTTCAGAATCATTTTCTGTTGGCTGTACATCATGGGCAAATGAAGTGATGGAGACATACCCTCAAGGGCAGAGCATCGCAGCCTCAGCAGCTGGTGCCAGATGTTTGGATCAGTTTTTGAAAAGCTGCTCAGTATTCTCCAGATGGTATGTGGAGGCAGAACTCTTGGACATGGTGCACTGTTCAGGAGCTCTTCCAATATGCCTTGTTGGTTCTGGCTGACCATTTGGCAAGCGGCACAGCTTTGTCACCAACACTAGCAGGTTGGCAGGGGACATGTGGGCACTTGGATGGATGGGTCTGCCTACCTGGCAAATCTTCAGTTTCCCATAGGGAGTCCTACCCAGTTCAAATCTCTCATTGCTCATCTCTCTGTCTTTCAACAAGCCACGAAGCCTGAAGAGGAGGAGTGGGAGGGGAAGGCATAAGAACATAAGAAGTGCCCTACTGCATCAAACCAGAGGTCCGTCTAGTCCTGTCCCACACAGTGGCCAACAGCTGCTCTGGAGGGCCTACAAACAGGGCACAGAGACCAAGATGCTGCATTTTAGCTCTGGTATTCAGAGGTTTATTGCCTCTGGAAGTGGAAGTTCTCTTTAGTCATCATGGCTGGGTAGCCACTGATGGATCTCCCCTCCATGCATCTGCCTTTTAAAGTCACCTATGATTGTAGCTGTCGCTACGTCCACAGGCAGTGAATCCCACAACTGAATTACTCGTTGAGGGAAGAAATCCCTTTGTCCATCCTGAATCTATAGCCTCTCAACTTCATTGCTGTTCATGCATGGGAGAATCCTTTGTCTCTGACACTTATGTGAGACAAAGTGCATGAGGCTGGTTAAGTGTGTGCGTGGGGTCACAAGGTTCCTTGGGGATCTTGGGCTGTGTTAAGGACTAGATACACCTTGAAGTCATATTGATCTCATGGACCTACTAACAAATGCTGAGGCAACTGCTTAGCACACAAAGGCTTTCCTATGTAGAGGATAAGCTTTATCGAGGACTTCCTGCACAATCAGTCAATGCTTATGTAGATTGTGTGGAGAGATATATTCTAGCAGGGCTGTTTATCATAGTGATATTACTTCACGTCTTGTGGCACACTGAGGTCTGAATTGTGTGTGTATGTGGAGAGAGAGGGAGAGAGAGCGCGAGAGATCATGGCATCAGTCTGTGGTTCTGCCCCATGTTGCATTTGTGTTATACCTGCAGTCAGAGAGCTGACACCTTCCCCTCCCCCAGGCCCCCTCTTCATCCAAGCATATCAGCAGAAGAACAGATTGTAGTACGGGGGATTGATCACTGTGTGCTTCCTGAGAAACTCCTTTTGGCCAGAAGTTTGGCATGCAGGCTCTGCCAGGCAGTGGGCGAATTGCCGGCTGTGGCAGCCAAATGGCCAGGAAGTGACCTTCCTTCATCTTGGGTGGTGGGAGGGGGGGGCTGTATTGGAGAGTGGCAGGCATCTTCCATTCACAGAGTTGGAAACAGCCTGAAGGCAGGGCATAGTTTTTTAAGCAGCTAACCTACCTGTTGTTTATTTCTACTGTGCCATCAATGCATATTGTGCTTGGCGGCAGCAGCAGTGTGCTATGTGTGTGTGCATGCTGTTGTGTGCTGTGACAAGCAGCAGCTCTCCCAGATTTCAGGCCACAGAGGGGCTTCCCCCAACACTTGCTATCTGGGATTCTCTAAGTAGAGATACCAGAGATTGCTGGAACTGGGAGCTTCCGCAGGAAAGGCATGTCCTCTTTCAGTGAACCACAGTAGCTTCCTTGTGTTGGCTGGCAAAAGATTCTGGGGCAGATCAGATGACTGTAATGTGCTCTCTATGGGGCTGCCTTTGAAGTCTGTTCAGAAACTTTTGCTGGCTCAAAACTCAGCTTGCTGGATTGCTTCCTAGGACTTCTTGTATGATTCTCCAATACTGTTTCATCTTTACATTATCTCAGCCCAACCTGTAGTACTAGTTCTGACCTTTGGAACCACAAAGTGACCAGAGGTAGGATATCTTAAGGAACAGCTCCTCCCATATGAACACACACACACCCTGGTTCACTGGGGTTGTCATCAGAGGTCCCATTTTTTGCACATTCATTAATAGTCTTCTAACAGATATGGTGGGTGGTTATGCCAAGAGAGGGCTTTCTTGGTAGGTGCACATCAACTCGGCACCTTTCTGTTGGAGGCCCACTTGGCACCCTCACACGGTTTGATGTTAGACATGTGGGTGCATCAACAGCCAAGTCTGATCTTCTTGGGCTACTAGGGTTGCTGACCTCCAGATGGGGCCTGATGAACTCTTGGAATTACAACTGAGATCAGTTCTGCTGGAGGAAATGTCTGCTTTGGAGGGTGACCTAGTTGGCATTGTAGCCTGCAAAGGTCTCTCCTGACCCCGAACCCCACCCTCTGCAGGCTCCACCCCCAAATCTCCTGGAATTTCACAGCCCAGTATTGGCAGTCTTGTGGGCTATCCTGTCTGCCCTGTGTTTCCCCTCTCTCCAGTACTGTGTTATCTTCTGTCTGTGTCTGAGCCCAATTTGGCATACTGTTTTTAACTTTTGACATATCTTTCTTATTAGTGGTTCATAGTTTTATCTTGTTGATAGGCTGCGGTCACACGGAGCATTAGCCACGCTACAGAGACGGAAGATAGGCGGATATTCCGGGCTCGATCACAGTGCCACATCTGGGAAGCGTAGCGCTCCCGTGGCCCACCCGAGGATTCCCGCCAAAGATGTGGGGTAAAAAAAACTAGTACCTCCGAGGCAAGGGCGGGCGTCTGATCACGTTTCCGGTGGCATCTGGCGCCCGCCCATGTCCCGTCGCGAAAAGGTGGTTTTTTTCCAAATCTCCACGGGATGCGCACAAGCACCCAACGGAGCATGCGAACACTTGGGTTTTTAAAAAACCGAACCCGCCGATCCGCTTCTTTGCCGCACTGCAGGAGTGACGTATGATCGACACCTCCCCCCAACCACGGGATGTCGGCGGGACGTTTGATCCCGCTGCCACACGGTAGTTCACTCCAAGGCAAACAGCCACACCTCCCCCCCGCAATATCTGGCCCGTGTGACTGGGGCCTAGGATGATTTTTCTGTTCATGTAGGCTCAGACAGAATTGTAGAATACAAGTCCACGGTAAGAACCCTGGCTTAGGTTTTAAGAGCCCATAGACACAAGTTGTTCAGTTCTAATGACTAGACACATTTGGATGGCTGAATTACTTGATTCTCTTCTCACATTGCCTTTGCTTTTCTTTTTTCAGACTGCAATGTCACCATCCACAACCGCTGCAAGGATACCTTACCAAATTGTACCAAAGTCAAGCAGAAGGTGAGTAGGGGGTGATGGGAACTGCAAGAGGAGGCAGGGAGGGCAGGATACAAATTAAACAAATAAAATAAAACATAAAATAAAGAGGAGGCATGTTGGGAGAGAAGAGGGTGAGAGCTGGCAGTATCACACTGTCTGGTGTTAACTAGGCTGCTGCTCTATGCAAGCATAGACTGAAATCACAGACCCATTGTAAAGCGCAGCAAGGTGGCCATGTGATTCTAAATCAGTCTTTCTGTGTGAGCTGCAGGTCAGTTCCAGAGGTCTAGTAAAAGTGCAATTAGAGCTGCTGTTCTGTTTTTTGCACATATGTAACAAGAGGGAGAGAAGGCCTGAAAAGCTCTTCAAATGGTGTGGGTGAATTTGGCCATAGAAGCTGGTGTGCTGAAGATCTCTGCTTTCATTTTTATTTTATTTTTAAAAAGGTTGCAACTCAAGAGCCAATGTGGTGTAGTGGTTTGACTTCTGGACTAGGAACTGGGTGACCCAGGTTTGAATCCCCTCTCCATCCTGGAGGCATGCTGGTTGACTTTAAGCCAGTTGCTCGATCTAAGCCTAACCTTTGCTTCACAGCATTGTTGGTTGTGAGGATAACATGGGGGAGATGTAAGCTGCTATGGGCCCCGCCGGAGAGAAAGGGAGGATATTAATATCTAAAAATAAGTAAATAAAAATAAGTAAATAAAATCATATGCGTAGTGATCTCTCAGAAATCAACAGGGCCTGGGTGAGAATTCAGCAGTAGGGGCTCAGGCTTCAGTGCCATGTGTGATTGGAGAAGCAGCGTAAATTCTCCAACATGAATGTGCCTATACTTTGCTGCTTTTGTAAAATGTATTCAGACGGCGAGATCTGGCTCTTGGGGCAGAGAGCTCTTGTCTCTTTAATGCCAGGAGCTCAACAGAGCTTAGGACAGACAGGCCCTGCCCCAAACAGTAGGCAGTGGACAAATGAAGTCTCCTTCTATCAAGTTACTCCATAAACAAACACAGAATTCTTTCCCAATGTCAGTTACTCAAGGGCTGAAACAGATGTAACAGTTTCATGTCAGTAAAAAGTAAATTCTTTGTTCACACAGCTGTAATTCGTCCTCCGATCTGGACTGAATCCATAAGAAGAGAAAGACAGGATTTAACCCTTCAAGCCTCACTCATTTCAGTCATTGATACTGGGCTTCCCTCGCTGTAATTAGCATTCCTTAAAACCACTAGTAACAGTCTGGGGAGCCCAGTTTCCATTAATGCAACTAAGCATGGTTTGAAGGGTTAAACCCCTGCTTCCCGTTCCATGTGGCGCCAATCTGAATGGCAGCTGTGCATGTATGCTCAGTTTACTTTATACAAATTGACCTTTGTTAACACCTCTTTCCCCTCCTCCCCCCCAATGCCAGAGATTGAACCTGGGACCTTCTGCCTGCAAGCAGGTGCCCTAACATTGAGGCACCGCCTGTTCTTCTGCTTAGTAGTGCTGATTCAGGCTAGCAGTGGCCCTTAACAGGGAGAGATCTTTCACAGGCCCTTTTAACTAATGCCGTCAGGAATGGAATACCGAACCAGACTATTAATCCAACTACGACATTAACGTCTACGCTTACTGAGAGCAGCTCTCATCCAGAGAAAAGTCCTTCCTAAACTGAGATCCTTTTTAAGTGGAGACTGCAGGGTTGAGCCTGGGGCCTTTGTCCCACTGACGGGTGAGATGAGGAGAGGGAGTGGAGAGGCTGTGCCAACTTGGTGTAGTGGTTAAGAGCAGTAGACTCTACTCTGGAGAACTGGGTTTGACTCCCCACTCCTCTACGTGAAGCCAGGTGGGTGACCTCGTGTCAGTCACAGTCCTCTCAGAGCTCGCTCAGCCCGCTCTGTTGTGAGGAGAGGAAGGGAAGACGATTGTAAGATGGTCTCCTTTGGGTGGTGAACAGCGGGGTATAAAACCAACTCTCCTCTTCTTCGGTGGATTGACAGGTGAGGCAGGGGGTGGGATGTGGGGCTTCCTGAGGGTCACATGGTATTCCCACTGTGGTTATGGCCTTCCTTATACTTTAATGCTTCATTCCTTGTTCCAGAGGTAATAATTGAAAAGCAGTCTGAAGATGCTTCAATATTACCTCCCTTCTCCTTGAGCTGAGTTTAGTGACTGATTACTTTTCTTCCCCCCATCCCCTGCAGCAGCAAAAGGCAGCCTTGCTCAAGAACAATTCAGCATTGCAGTCGGTGTCCCTGAGAAACAAAAGTGAGTGGAGCTGTATCTCGTGTGGGTTAAAGTGATTCAGGAGAGAAGGGCAACAGGAGCCAGCTGTGGGGAACAGTTTTCCTCTGTGAAAGCAATTGGGTTCATTAACAGAAGCAGTGATATTGAGGCAAAGGACAAAAAGAAGCAAGGGGAGAAAATGGTTTTAGATCCACTTCCTGGCTATGAGGTCAGGACTCAGTTTTGAAACTGCCCTTGCATACACTCAGTCCCAGGCACTGTTTTCTTGAGGTATCTGGAAATGACCGAAATAATAAGCTCTTCTGAGCGTATGCAGAGTGCCTGCCTCCCCATTCCATATCCCTGAGGCTTTGTAAAAGAGCTTTGTTTCTGGGGAGGGGGTGTGAAAGTACTTCACACATAATTTGTGGAATTTGCTGCCACAGGTTGTAGTTACAACTGTTGGCTTTGATGGCTTTAAAAGGGGGAGAGAGACATTTGTGGAAGTGGATGGGTCTACCAGTGGCTGTTAGCCACTTTTCACAGCCTCTCTGTTCAAATGCAGTGTTTTTGTGGATCCCAGGTGCTAGGGGAAACAGTGGTGTTGAGGCTGCTGGACTAGATGGATTTCTGACTTTATCTAACAGAGCTCTTTCTCTGTGATTTCTAGATAGTCTTGAACCCCAGCACTTCTCTTTGAATTTTTGTCTGTGTGCCTTGCATGCATGATTATGCTCTGGAAGGATGAAAGTCTGTTTTTGCCATCCTTATTGCAGCTCCATGATTTAATTGTTTTTAAACCTTCAGCAACCATCAGGGAGCGCCCCAGTTCCGCCATCTACCCCTCAGAGAGCTTCCGCCACACCTTGCTGGGATCCCGCCGGGGCCGTCCCACTTTGTCCCTTTCCAAAAGTGTCTCTACCACCAACATTGCAGGGTAAGTTAACATAGTGTTGAACAGATGGGAGAACGAACAACAATGCATGGGGCTGTCTGAGAACTTGGACCCTCTTTGTAAACAAGTGCCAAGGTGTAGTTTTAGACTTGGGGGAAGAATGCATGCTCCAGCTGGCCCTATTTACCAGGGGCACGCACTGCAGCTGGCCCCATTCCTGGAGCTTGTCCCTGGTAAATTGTGGCATCTATCTCCTGACTTTCAGAAAAGCCGTATTCAAATTTCGTTAGCATTAGTAGTTTGCATGATCATCTTTCAGGATTCAGCTCCTTCTCTGCACTCTCTGGGACTTAAGTGGATGGGTGGATACATCTTTCCCCTACAGCGCAGCTTGTCAATGCATGTGCATTAATATTAAAATGCTATAGAGTGCACAGCCTGCCATTCACAGACTGGCAAGGCTCATTTTGAACTGTTGATAACGGATTGGAGGACAGTTATGTTTTTCTAATGAAACCCTAAGGAGTGTATATCTCTTAGCTATTTAACACTGCAGGGAAAGCTATTGTGGGGTTTAAAAAATGCACTGAGAGTAGAATTTTCACTGATGTGTAATGGGGTATTCAGTTAATAACCCTTGTTATCTGATAATCTAAGGATTACAAGCATAGCTCTATTTTCACCTGTGAAATGTTGGAGGTTATGTAGGGAGATATGTGTTCAAATCCTTGCATGTCCATGAAGCTCACTAGACCCAGACTTTTGTAGCATCACTCACCTCACAGAGTCATTGCAAGGGGGAAAAATAATCTTTGCCTACCTCTACATGGCAGAAGGGTGCAATACCTGACAAATAACAATAATAATATTACTACTAGGATCCCATGTAGAGTCCTTGGTATTTTTTATTAAAGAGTCTCAGGTAACTGCTGTTAAGAAGGTATTCTCCCTACCTGAGATGCTTGAGAGCATCTGCTAGTCACAGAAGAGTGGTATTCTCCCTACCTGAGATGCTTGAGATCATCTGCTGGTCACAGAAGAGTATACTGAGCTGGATGAACCAAAGGGCTGGCTCAGCAGAACATAGTTTCCATAAACCTATGTGTTCAACTTGTTTTCTTCCCACCTAGGACTTTCAACGATGAATCTCCCTTGGGGATCAGGAGAATCCTGTCCCAGTCCACCGATTCCCTTAACATGCGCAACCGAACACTCTCGGTAGAATCACTCATTGATGAAGGTGAGACAGGGATGAGTGGTTGGGGCTTCAATGAAAACTCCTGCCAGAAATTCTGCAAGCATATATATGCGCGCACACAGACACCATTGTATGTTCCCCAGTGAAAACGAAACTAGGCTGCTTAAATGTTGCATGGCAAAAACTGGATTTGAGCAGGAGGGAAGTTTTGCCTGGTCAGTTTCTTTGGTTGGACTGGCCTTGAGTGCCCGTTACTGTTAGCTAACCAAGGTGTGCTGGGTTGCTGGACTAAGAGGAAAGGCGTGGAAGCCAGAGACTGTGTGTCCTTCTGGATTTTGTGCAAGCCACAGAGGACTTCGTTTCAAAGATCTAGATTCCAAAGGTGCTTGCTTGTGATTGTATTGTGTGCTGATGGGTCCTAATGCAACTTTGCTGTAGGGAGGGGGCATAGATCAGTTTTCTGAAGGCGCAACTCCTGTTCTCCTTCACCGTCTTTGTTTTTATCCCTCACGCCAGGAGCCGAAGTCATCTACAGCCAGCTGATGAGTGATTTTGAGATGGGTGAGAAGGACTTTGAGGCTGATTCCTGGAGCCTGGCAGTAGACAATAACTTCTTGCAGCAGCACAAGAAGGAGGTCATGAAACGACAAGATGTCATATATGGTGAGCACTTGTGTTCAAGCCCCCAATTGTTGAATTGTCACAGCAGTTCAGCAATGAACTAAGGCCAAGCCATGCATTATAAGGCGATGCCGACCCGAGTCTCCCTGGCAACACGTAGTTGGAAAAACCATGTGAGTTGGTAGCTTTGCAATAGCATTTCTCCACCCACGTCTCCTCCACTTCACTGGCTGCTGATTGCATGGGCAGGACAGCATGAATGTGTTAGCGCAAAGTAGTCTCCAGTTTTTTGTTACCAGAGGAATGCATGTTGGAGGTGCTCACATATTCCTCCCCCCAACAGCATGTAGTTTGGGTTTAAAACACCTTCCTTACAAAGTGGATCTTTAGGATGATTCCTAATATAATATGTACCATACGATGCATATATAACGAAGCACAGCAAACAACCAGTATCAAATGTAGAAGTGGTACAGTCCCAAGAGGGCTAATTGTATATGGGTAAGGAGGAGGAGTTGTTGTGAAAGAGGTCATTCTCACAGCTTAGAGGGAACATTGGCTCTCCAGTTTTTTGTTACCAGAGGGATGCATGTCGGAGGTGCTCACATATTCCACCACCACCCCCAACAGCATGTAGTTTGGGTTTAAAACACCTTCCTTACAAAGTGGATCTTTAGGATGATTCCTAATAGAATATGTACCATACGATCAAACCGATGCATATATAACGAAGCACAGCAAACAACCAGTATCAAATGTAGAAGTGGTACAGTCCCAAGAGGGCTAATTGTATATGGGTAAGGAGGAGGAGTTGTTGTGAAAGAGGTCATTCTGTTATGGTGTCCCCGCTTCTGAAGTGGTTTTCCTCAACTCAGGCTGGTTCTGTAGCAGGCAAATCTCCTCCCACCTCAGTTTCATTCCTCTTTCCACTCCCTTCCCCCTTCAGAGTTGATTCAGACCGAGCTCCACCACGTACAGACGCTGAAGATCATGACCAACCTCTTCCGGAAGGGGATGTTGGAAGACCTCCAGATGGACCCAGCTGTTGTGCAGAGCATGTTCCCCTGTGTGGACGAGCTCAGTGAGATCCACAACCGCTTCCTCGTGCAACTCCTAGAGCGCCGCAAGGAGTCGCTGGCCACCGACAGCAACAAGAACTTTGTCATCAACCGGCTGGGAGACATCCTTGTGCAGCAGGTGATCCCACCGTTGCCACCCCAAATCCATTTGGCCAGCCAGGCCAAGGGCTCGGTTACTTGTTCATTATTTACTCAAGCTAGAATATTTGCATACAGCCTTCCACTTTATTTTAAAATTTTCATGGTGGGTAATGACAAGCAAAGCATAAAAACCACTCTGTTAGAACTGATAAAACAGCAGCAAAATCAGTTAGCCATTAATGTTTGTATAATTTAAACAGCAATAGCAAGATAGTTAATAACAGGGGCATGTGTTAAAAATCTGAGATAATCAGATAGCTTTTTAACTTGACACCGGAATGCTCATCAGGATGGCACAGGGTGATTGTCCCTTGGGAAGGGTATTCCACAACCGGGATTCTGCTGCAGGATAGGCCTTTTCTACCATCACCACTTGCCTAACTTCAGAAGGCAGGGGCACGCAGAATAGAGCCTCGGAAGAAGCTCTCAAGTAAGGGGCACCTTCCAGTGGGAGCAGGTGGTCCTTCAGACACCATAGTCCTAGACTGCTATGCAATTAGGGAGGTGGGGAGGGTAAGTGGCATTGTATAGCCCGATCTTGGAAGCTAAGGAGGGTCAGTACTTGGATGGAAGACCACCAAGGAAGACTCTGCAGAGGAAAGCAATGGCAAACCGGCTCTGCTTCTCACTTGCTTTGAAAGCTCCTTACTGAGGTCATCGTAAGTCATTTGCAACTCGGCAGTACATAAGTCCAGGCAAGAACAAGGCCTAGATGAGAGCAGGAGTGTGTGCTGAAAGCAAAAACTCAGGAATGGTCTTGCTTGGTATAAGGCAGCTTCATATTATTGCTGAGTTAATTTGATAGCTCACCATTTGCACCCAGGCTCAGTTCCTGGTGTTTCATAGATGATAATGGCGCCACTGGGTCCAACGTGTGGACATTGATGGTGTTTTAGAGCTGAATTTGGCCATGTAAAAATGAAAGCCCAATCAGTGCAGCAGGCATGCGGGGAAGGAAACAAGATCGCCTGCTCCTGCTGCAATGTGGGCCTGATCAGGACTGGGCCCTCGTGGCATTTTTAAATGGCTGAATTCAGCTCTAAAATGGTGTTGGGTGTCCACAGGTCCTACCCATGGACATTGTAAGGTCTAGTTTGGCCCATAGGTAACAGGTGGTGGGAAACACCCCTCTCTGCTGGAGAGCTGCTGCTTGTCATGCAAGACATGGCTAAGCTTTGATGGTCTGATTCTCTGTAGAGGGAATGTTGGAAGCTTGTGTAACAAAGCTGTTTGCAAATGTAGAGGATGAATGGGCCGCAAGCCAGTGGGTACCCAGGCAGTCTGAACCCCAAAGCAGAATCAGTGCACCGTTTCTGTATCTTAGGAGCTATATCTGCCAGCCAGAGGCCTGAGAGGGAATGTGGCTCAGTAGAAAAGCATTTACTTTATATGCAGAAGGTCACAGGTTCAGTCCTTGGCTTTCAGGAGTTTTTCCCCCCCTCTGTCTGAGACCAGGCAATGCCCCTGCCAGTCTGAGCAGGTGATACTGAGTTAGTTGGACAAGCACTCTGGCTCGACATAAGGCAGCTTCTTAGGTTCAGTAGCCAGACAGTCTGCGCCTTAAGAAGTTTACAGTTTGCAGCTTGACAATGGAAAGAGAGTAGAGGATGGATCTGAGACAAAGGTATCACGGGATGAATGCATGGAAATCCATATGCATGTAATTAGACTTCATTTTAGCTGGTGGTGAGGACTGAGCCGTGAAGCCACGCTGTGTCATTTCAAGAGCAGAGAGAAAGCTAAAGAAAACAGAGAGCCAAGCTTAACATGGCGGGCCAGACGTCACAACTGCATATATTTCTTCATATAGCTGCCCCGATGCTTGGAACTTGTTCTTGTTTTGGTTGTTGTTGTTTTTTTAAACTCTGAACAGGTGGCACAGAAATCTTTTAAAGTAAATAAATAAAATGGAATGTGTGGGCTAGGGGGAATGAAAGCTTCTCCCCTCTCCTGCTACTTCTCTGTGTTTTATTGTTTGAAGTATTTTTCTCCCAGGCCCTGGAAGTGAACTGGGCTGGAGAGAAAAGTGCTTGAACCAACAGAGCACAATGAGGTAAGGCAGGGGAGGGGAGAGGCTTTAGCTCCCCTTCACCCACACACGCTATATACAGGGAAAAAGAGAAGGATACAGAAACATGTTTGCTTTATATGTGAATGGAGCGGCCACGTGAATAGAGACGTGTGGCTGCCCCCATCAGGTCTAGTTTGGCCTGCAGGTTTCAAATCAAAGCTGGGGTCTGTAGTCAGAGGGGCGAGGATGAACAAGGTAGGTGGGAGAGGATAAGGGGGCATTGGGGTGTGAGTCTGCATAGCTTCTGCCTCCCCAGCAGCAAGGTATGACTTCGCACCTGTGTGGTTGCCTTTCAGTTTTCAGGCACCAGTGCTGAGCAGATGAAGAAGGCCTACTCAGAGTTCTGCAGCCGCCACAGCAAGGCCGTGAAGCTTTACAAAGAGCTCTTCGCCCGGGACAAGAGGTTCCAGCAGTTCATCCGAGTAAGGAGTTTCTTCTCACCCCTCCCCAGTTCCTTACCATCAAAACCCATCTGCCTCCATGGATCAATGAGCTGTGGGGATCAAAGGAAAAAGTGTGGAGCTTGGCAAGGGTCTCCAGGCTGGTGGCTGAAGCTGGCCCCCTGGGGGGAGCATGGGTTCTGGACTGCTGCTGTGTTGTGCCAGAGAGGTGGAATAAGCCCTGTCTTGGGAAACCGTGGGATGGGAAACTGATACGTAGTCCCTGTCTTGGGAAACCGTGGGATGGGAAGGCGGCTTGTTCTGGAGCCTGAGCCTTTTGTCTGTCTCTTCCACCTTCCCCAGAGGCTGACACGGTCATCGGTGTTGCGCCGTCACGGTGTGCAGGAGTGCATCCTTCTGGTCACCCAGCGCATCACTAAATACCCTGGGCTTATTGACAGAATCCTGCAGAACTCCAAAGGTACAAGTTACTGCGACAGGCTTTCAACAAAGGGACAATAACAGGGGGACATGGTGTGCGTGATGGGGACTGTATGGGGACTGTGGTCTGGGTAATTCTGGACCTAGGATCCAAGAAACCTCAGCTGGGTGGATAAACAGGTTTGCAGATGGTAGATCCATCACGAGCAAGCAGGCCTCTTCTGGGGGGAATCCAGGTTTATGGACTCAGGCTTCCAACCTCCCCAGGTAACGAAGTGGATCAGAGGGATCTGAGCACAGCCTTGACAGTGGTCAAGGAACTGCTTTCCACAATCAATCAAGAGGTGCACGACTATGAGAAGAATGCTCGGCTGCAGGAGATCTACGGGCGAATAGATGGGCGTGCCAAGGCCATCCTGCCCTGGGAGCGGGGTTCTTTCTGCAGCGAGGAGTTGCTGCGGCGCAAGCTGGTACACGACGGCTCCATGCTCTGGAAGACGGCTGCTGGGCGTTTTAAAGGCAGGTGGAGTCCAATGTCTTGGCAGTGCATTGTTAGCCCTCTAACAGCAGGACTGTATATCAAAGAGTGATCCTGATTTTGTTCATATGTGAACAGCACAATTGTCCGAGAGCAGGGGAATACAGAGGGTACCGTGGGGCATGAGGCCACTTCCTCTTAAAAAGCCACAGCCACTTCAAGAGCTGAGTGGCTGCATCCTGGGGTGGCTTGGAGGGCAGCAAAGGCAGTGTGTTGCCATGGAGATGGTTGAAGGCACTCCTGACCTCGTGGGAGAGGGAGGCCCTCTTGAGAATTTATGGGCAGTAAGGGTCATGAATGTCTTACCCATAGCGCCTCTTTAGTGCATTATGAACATATAACATTGTCTTATTCTTGGTGAGACTATTGGTCTACCTAGTCCCAGGCAGCAGCAAATCAGAAGGTTTAAAGCACAAAGTGCATGGCTGCTGAGCTGAGTTCAATTAACTTGCGGAGACAGTTTTTTGTAGGGCACTGAAACCCTGCATAGTGCCTGCTTTCTGAGATTTTGCAGCCTATCTTTGCAATCCTTAGGACTAGAAACATGCTATTTTTTTTAAAAAAAGTGAAAGCTTGAGATTCCCAGGATCCCAAATTCTGACTCTGAAAAATTCTGGGACCAAAATAAAGTAACAGTGCCCCTTCTTCTGAAGCCTCCTGGTTAATTTTATCTCACTTCTGAAAGTCCTGAGAGTGATTGCCTCTCAAAAACAGACATTTATAACCTTCCATTGTCACCTTCTCTCTTGCAGATGTCCTGGTTCTCCTGATGACAGACGTTCTCATCTTCCTTCAGGAGAAGGATCAGAAATACAACTTCCCCACCCTGGTGAGTGGCTTTCAGCTTGCCGTAACTCTAAGCTGATGTCAGGCACCAGGGGCTCTTGCAGTGGTAGCCGGGCACCTGGCTCTCTCTCCACTACCCTAGGAGATAGAGAGCAAGAAAAGGGTACTGCTGGCCTGCTTTCTGCTGTCCTTCAACTCCCTTCATTGTGGATGCTCAGAAGGTGTTATTGCACCCACCAACTTAGCAGAGGTCAGATGAGATGCAAGCCAATAGGATTCCATAAAGATTCAAATTCTCTGACCCGGTTCCTCAATCCAAGCAATGTATCAGGTGTATGCAAACCTACTCTCAGATTCTACCCCCTTCCCTTCCCTTACACACTAATTGGGTAGGTAGCCCATCTGCATGGTGGTCTGCCTGCTTCCCAGGCCACTACCTCATAGGAGTTGGAGGGGGCCTTACAACCCTTTGTACAGTGCAGGACATCTAAACTAGAGCAATCCTGACAGATGGTTGTCCAGCCTCTCCCTGAAGACCTTCAGAGAAGGAGACCCCTCACCCCTCACCTTCCATGGTCAAACTGCTCTCACTGCTAGGCAGTTTCTGCTAATGCTTTATTGAAATCTGCCCTCCTGTGACTTCGATTTATTAAATCTACGTGGGGATGGGCTTGTGTGGTTTCCTCGTTGTTGCTATGACTGGTCATACAACACAGTGGGGCTTCCACATAGCAGGTTTTTGTGTGTTTTCTCTGCCCCAGCCCCCCAGCGGCAGCCAGTGGGGCCTTTTTCAGGTTTTCTATAAATCAGCAATTGACATAATGTTATAACCCTGTAACAATCAATCACTGTATTCCCAGTGTTCTTTTTTTTTTTTTTTTAAGTCTCTATCCACTTTCTTTGTGGTGGTAATCAGTAGAAAGGCATGTCTACAGCAG